GATGAAAACTTCAAGGAGGTTAGGGTGAAGACGAATAGTCGGAGGCTGACAAAGATTGGCTAAGGGTTTTGATCTAGCTGAATATGCATGGAGCTGCTTCTCTACCACTAGGCACAACTGAAATGGGGTTCTCAAAATACGGTTGTCCATGAACGTTCGAAGAAGTAGACAACAGGGTGCCACCAACTATTTTCCCACAGCTGCGCAACCCCATCTCGCACTTCCAGCCGTGCACGAGTTGAGCTAGCTGAGCTACAAAACTGTGCTATCTTGTACTGAAGGCCTCTTGCCTAGCAATCACCACTTTTTCAACCATCTGGCTTGTCTTTTCAAAGAGATCAAACATAGAAACGCGACATGCTAATTAAACGATGTTCCCCAAAATCTTCGCCTACAAATCTTCGCCAGAATCTTCGCCTCCAGCACTTCCAACATCCGGATCTATTAAACGCTCCCATTTTGGGCAAAGTGTAGTGATTGTAGCAAATTTTATTCCGACGAAAAATGTAAAAATGTTTTATCTGAAGCGAGATGTGCGCTTCTGAATTTGAAGGTAAAAATCGGCGGAAACTTTCCGAACAGGCCAATATCATACTTGAAGCACATGTTGCAGGATAGGAATAATGGGATTTGAAAGATATGCCTTGATCATCATAGTGGCCCAACATTGAAGAAAAATGCAAAAATAACATTGAAAAGACCTCGAACAAAGTACTTTTTTAGCAGGTTATTTTGAGCATATCGCAAACTTAAAACTAAGAAACGTGAGTAGGCAAGCGTCAAGAGCACGAAGTAGCAAGGGGCTAGCTAGGCACAGTCGACAACGGGACGGCCTGACGCACGACTCCTATATCATACTTTCTAATTAATACAAGTTGTCTTGAATCCGAATGAGATCAAAAGCAATAGAGAGCCTTTCAGAGTGTATCTTTCGTGTGATCCCCACTTTGCTCAGCCATCCGTGGTATTATTTGTTGCTCCAATGGTGTCAAGAAAATCGTAAGTAAATCGTTCATGTGCTTGATTATTAACCACTGACCCCAGGATGTCCCCTTCAAGTTTTCATCACTGTTCTCAGACAGCACCATTTACTGTTGATACTGTCGGACTGTTCTGTGTGTGCAGACCTTCATATTCAATTTCAACCACTTGAGATAATCACTTCAATCACTTCATGCAAATCTCGAGAGTAGCCCCTCTTTTTTTGCTCAACATATTTTTGAAAGAATTAGTTTGGCATTAGATTTTACCATTTTCGGGAAAACAGTCCTTTTACCTTGAAGCGAGGAGTCTTGATAAACAGTATCCAGAGCCTTCTTGTGGGTAAAGGTGTAGTTGCAGTGCTCTGGGGCTGTCCAACCTTGGGTACCCGACAGGAGGCCCATCGCGCGGCAAAGGCAGTATCAGTGAACGAGTCGCAGCGCGTGATGTGCGTGTGGGACGTACTATGGTATATTTCATTATTCAGCACCCGCACGTCCACTGCAAATCCGATCTAATCTTATAGTAATCCCTCGCTTCGAGGTGTTCATGGCTTAGTCCCTCCCTTACGGAAACCAAGAGAAAGGTCGGAGGCGTACATCTGCTTTTCCTCTAGACGGGCATAACCTTTTATGTTATTCACGCACTGCTAGATGAATTTATGCAAAAAAGCTACGGCGTTTTGGTGATCCAGTCAAGAGCTTTGCGCATTGCCACGTAACTGCAGGGTTTCTTGAAATCCGATCTTTTCACCATATCTATCTCCTACCACGTGTTTTGTTTCGCTATGAACAACACACACTTCGTTTTAGATTCTCCCATTACGCACAAGCGTTTATGTACGGATGGAATCTATCATTGATAATTACGTCAACAGTAAGTTCTTCGTCAGTTTTAGGCTTCAGACCATTGTTATTCAGATAGTTCGCGTTGAGGATTGAATTTTCTCCCTCGTCTACTTAGTCGAGACAATTTCGCTTCCTGTCTCGAAAATCTGGATTTGTCATTGAGTTGCATGTGTCGGGTGTGCGTAAAAAAACTTGAGGATTAATACGCGAGCAAATGTTATGAAAGGGATGATCAAGTGCTGGTCTTTAAAGCTGG